GTCGGTTGGCTACCAAGATTTTGAAGCGCTACGGTGGCAAGCAGGCTGACCAGAAATCTGAGCAGCATGCTAGCACACTTGAGTGAGCCAAAAGGGTGCTAAGCGACGTTAATGACGAGAAAGTGGGGTCGAGCGAACCCCACACCTCGATGAAGCGACAGAGGTCGCAGGAGGCGGAATCCTCCCTCGGCAAGAAGCCTCGAGTCGGAGCCGCACCGACTTTAAGCGAAATCGCTAAACTCGCCAGTTCAATAGAGCTCGGGGTGTACGATAGTCTCAGGGGAAGCCCTGGACCACCCCCAAGATGTGAAAGTGCCGGGTGGAGTCTCGGCTTACACAAGCTTGTAAGGTGTGCCGACGAACGGTCGGCATTCCTTTATAAGTAGGCGGTAGCCAGGTTGGGGGAAGTATGGAAGGGAGCAAGGCTCGAGGCGGTGGTCAAATCGGATCTTCCGATGCGACCTCCTGCTCGGGTCTGGCTTCCGGCCGAATCCTCTACCCCGACCGAAATTGAGGAGATGTTGCGGTACTGCAATCCATCTCTTCCCACCCAAGATTGGAAGGTGGTTAGGCTGGAGAGGACCGAGGAACCATATCGGCGAGCGCTGATACTCCTAAACAAGGAGTCCCTCGCTCCTCTCAGCTATGCAAAAGGGGCTATAAGCTATGGCTTCGAGAGGGCCGTGCTTAGGATTCTCCCAACTGAAGCCAGGGCTGATGACCCGTTGCCACCAGCGGAGGTGGAAGAGAGTGGAAGAGCGACCCACTCTAAAATGGACATCGACCCCATCCGTCTTCAGTCTCGAGCGCCTGTTCGAGGATGCTGGGGTCGATAGCACGGATGATGGTGCGGAACTCGCACTGCTGGAGAGGAGTTTGGAGGATTAAGATCCTCCAAATTAACCTCCAGCACTCAAAGGCGGCCTCCTCCGATCTATTGCTTCGTCTAGGACGGGACGAAGCCGACGTTGTCCTTATCCAGGAACGTGGCTGAGCAGAAATTGTATCTCTGGTTTAAGGACAAAAAGCCACAAGCTCCTGGCAGTAAACAGCACAGGTAGAACCAGAGCCTGCTTGTTGATCAGAAAAGAACTTAACGTTTTTCTTATGCCTAATTTCAGCAGCGAAGATGTCGTCGCCGCTAGACTGGAGGACAGTGCTGGAGAACTCTGGCTTGTCTCAGCCTACATGCCGCACGACGACGAGGTGGAGCCACCTCCGTACTTGCTGAGAAGGGCTCTGGTAGAGGCCAGGCGCAAAGGGGCCGGAGTCTTAATAGGCTCGGATGCAAATTCAAGGCACACCGTCTGGGGGAGCTCGGACATCAACGCAAGAGGTGAGTCACTTTTTGATTTTATTTGAAGTGTAGATCTTTCTATATGTAATAGGGGGAACAGCCCTACCTTTATGACTGCTAGCAGGGCGGAAGTCCTTGACGTTACGCTAGCCTCTAGGGAAATTGCTCCCTTTATTTCGGAATGGAGGGTTCTAGACAACCATTCCTTTTCCGATCATAAATATATTGGTTTCAGCTTGAAATCCTCACGCCCGGAGCTCAAAACCTTTAGAAATTTCAGGAACACCAACTGGGTCCTGTACTGCAGGAGGCTTCGATCAGCTCTTCCAACCGCACCCAACAGGGATTCGATCCTCTCTGCGGATGCTGTCGATGAGCTCGTCGAGGTTTTCAGCTCTGTTAGTAGAACTACTCTTGACAGCTCCTGTCCTCTGAGAACTCAGAAAATCAAAGGGAAACCCCCTTGGTGGACTTCGGAGCTAACGGAGATCAGATATTCGAGCAGAAGACTTTTCAACAAAGCCCGTAAAAGTGGCTCTAGTGACGACTGGGCGTTGTACAAGGCCGGACTGGCCATCTATATGTACATTAGGAGCAGAATACCGAGGGGTAAACTGTTACGGGCGCAGCATGCATATATCAAAGGCAGGTCGGTCGACACTGCTTTGCATGATGTAGCGTCATGGCTAGAGATAGCTCTCAAGCACAAGGAATTTGCTGTGGGTACCTTTCTCGACATCGTGGGGGCCTTCAACAATGTGCGACCAGAGGCATTGGTTAAAGCCCTCGAAAAGTTTGAGGTGGAATCTAACCTCAAGCACCTTAGTTTTATTCTTCTTTGCGACAGAACTGTCGCAGCGGAGAAGGGTGGTGCCAAGATAACCGGGAAAGTGAATAGGGGAACTCCGCAGGGGGGAGTACTCTCCCCACTACTCTGGATATTGCTGGTAAACGACCTACGTATAGAACTCGAGACGCAAGGCTGTCGGGTGACATTGAGGAGAGAGTTAAGAAGGCGGTCGCCTTATACTGCTGCAAAGGGGATATAGGAAAAGGTGGGGACTCTCACCTAAGGTGGTGTTCTGGCTTTACGAAACCGTAGTTAAGCCAATAATGTTCTATGATGTGTTCGTCTGGTGGAGGGCGCTCGAAAGGGCCACACTGACTTAAAAGCTTGAGCGGGTCCAAAAAACGGCGGTCATCGGAATCCCCGGTGCACTGCGGACCACACCTACAATAGCTCTTAATTCTATTTTAAACATAGCACCTGTGGACATTGCCGGTAGGTGCATTGCTGCGAAGTGTACTTTAAGGCTGAGGGAAGCTGGGCTTATGAAGAGTGTCAAGGACACTCCGAAATTCTTTCCTCCTTCAGCTGCATTCCGGAAAATATAGATCACTGCGTCACTGAGGCCACTTGAGGCGGCTCCTTCTCCGCTCATATTCCAACGAGGGACATGTAGATGGGAAGAAGCCACTGGAGGAGAGCGGTGAGCTTTTTCACGGATGGATCGATGTTGGAGGGGGGGTTTTCTGCAAGTAGCTCTCCGTCAGTCTCAGCTTCAGGCTACCGGATCACTGTAGTTTTTTTCAGGCGGAAGTGGCTGCTATCAAGTTGGCGGTAGAAGTACTGCTGCGTAGTGCAGCCTCGTTTGTAGAAGTGAGCATCCACTCCGATAGTAGGGCGGCAATACTAGCTTTGAGCGCGCGAACCGTGCAATCAAAGCTCGTCAAGGAGTGTCTGCCCTCTCTAGAGATAGCGTCTGGCTATTTCAACATCAGGCTCGTTTGAGTGCCTGGTCACAGCGGAATCGCTGGAAACTGCAAAGCCGATAAGCTAGCCAGGGGGGCACCTTTGCCCCACTCACATCGGAATGGGATCGGGTTGGATCTTCGTTAGCGTCTTGCGCTCTAGCTTTGGATCAATGGACTTCGCGTGCACTCAGCAGACGCTGGTCGACGACCAAGTCCTGTGCGACCGCGAGATCCTTCTGGCCAAGAGTGCATCGCAGGAGGTCGGGGGGACTTCTCGCCCTGAGCAAAGTGCATCTCGCCGCTATGGTAGGAATTCTCACTGGATACTGTACAATGGGCACTCATGCGGTACGGCTTGGAGTGCTACCCGATGCTAGTTGCCAAAATTGCATGGAGGAGGGCGAAGTGGAATCATCCCGGTACTTTCTCCTCCAATGTCCAGCTTTCGCTAGGCTGAGATTGAAATATCTCGGCAATCACACTTTTGGCGGACCTGAATACTTAGCCGAAATGGATCTCGGCCGTCTTAACAAGTTTGTAGTAAGCACAAAGCGTTTTTCGACTTGTAAGGGTCTTTTGATCCAGATTATAGGAGTTTTATAGGTATCACAACGGACCGGCGTCTTAAGCTGTCCAAGTGGGATCCTTTTTGGGATCGATCTCCTAACCTAACCTAACAATTATCAAAACAACATGTACCTGGAATTGGAGTTTGACCGATATTTTCGGCAGAAAGTCGGGTGCACAATCACTGGGGTCCACATATTCGGTATGTAGGCGCTTGAAAATTTATGGTCCGATTTTGACAATTTTCAGACTCGAGATGGCAACCCTTAAAGTCACTATTTGTGCCCAGTTTTATCTGAATATGTTAATAGATCCTTGTCTTCTGTACTAGAAAGTCATTTCAACTCATCTTCATCCTAACTATTTATATGTATATGATATAATATATACAAATCCATGTCTACCTCGATTATTTTTAGGTGATACAAACAACAGTTAGGTGAACAAAACTACATATTATATCCTGTAGCAACATGTTCCAATCGACTTGAAATTTCGAAACAATATTCTTGAAACACCATCTATTTAATTTTAATAATTTAAAAATTTGTACAAAATAAAATCAATCTTAATGAAATGTTTAAATATGATGGCTGTTGGTGAGATGTAACGTATTTTGTTTTGTAGATAGTTAAAAGACATTCGAATTCCAGCTCTTAAAGCCCTATTTCCCTAATTTGTACAAAGAAACACGTATCTCGCGTAGAAACACGTAGCTTTCACTCACGGTTTACTTCCATTTTCAGCTATCAATCACAGTTCTTCTATTGCCGACCACTAGTTTAAACCATATATATATTTTATATTATAATATAAACATTGCATTTACTTTTTAATACGCTTTTATAAGCTTGGGTTGTATGTATGTAATGGAATTTTAGAGCTCAATTTTCACCGGTTTCCAGAAGTCTGATCAATTTGAAACTTTGCAGACGTGTCAAGGACCGATGACAATGCAATAATTTGACAACAGTTATTTTAAAGGTGGGCGTAACCTCGCTCACTAAATGGTTTAATGTACTTGTATATATCTTCCAAGCCGCTAAAGCTAACTCAACCAAAATTTGCTGAGAGGAAGCAAAATCAGATAATAACCACGCTTACCCCCCATATAACAGTTATGTTAAAATATACTAAATGTGCGATAACTGACGAAATAAATGCGCCATAAGCATTAAATTTTATAAACAAGATGGTAGGGAAGAGCTTTATAAGAGGTGGAGTAAAAATTCGTTTAAAGCGTGTTTTTTAGTTTTTTTAAACTATCATTTTTATATAAAAAGTTCCCCGCGTTGCCGTTTAATATGAACAATGTATATGATGTTATAAGACAAAGTTAAATTTTATTAATATAAATTAATTAAATAATATAATTACATACCTAAAATAACTCCAATTGACAGCAAAATTATGAAAGGTCTTCTCCGGCCCAAATTTAGATTACAGCGATCGCTCATCGAGCCTAAGAAAGGGCACGCAATAAACCCTACCAAAGGTGATAAAGCCCATACTAAAGTCATATGTTGATGGTCTATACCAATTCTTAGTAAAGTTGGTGAAACGAAGGCAGTTTCAGCGGCATACGAGAATTCAATACCCATAACAGCTGCAGAAATCCTTACCAACTCCATGCGAGTTTTATGTCTGTAAAATATTTTAAATAATACAACAGTATACAGAAGGACTAAATTAAGAAACAGTCCAAATAAAAATTTAAAGACAGGGAAATGTTTTTAGGTATTGGCAAAATTTTTAGGCACAACGACACACTATTATTAGAGAGAGACGCCCTCAGGTTTTATTTAAGATATCTCACTTGTTTAGCCGTATATACGGTATATACTTGTAGTCAACCGGAAATTCGAAAATCTCATCTGTTATTGGACAAGTGTACAAAGCTTCATCAAGATATCTCAATCTTTACTCAAGTTGTCGATTGCCCGGAAGCAATGACAAATGGACAAACAGAGAGTCACGGTGTTCAACTCGTCTCGTCATCCTTATTATTTATATATACATAATTCTATATCTTTTTCGATAAGTTGTAAGTATTACAATCAACAGTTAGGTTTATACGTATAAATACTCGTACTCTGTAATAACATGTTGCGAGAGCACAAAAATGTTGCCAAAGAATTCAACATGCATTATTCAAAGAAATCGAATGAGGTACAATTAAATAGACTCAGTTATGGTATTGCAGTTTAGTACAACAATTTATATTAAAATCAACCTAACTAACTCAGAGCTAATTTAATATATTGAATATAGTAGGAATATGGCAACTAAATAATTATAAGTCATAATATTTGGGATATGAGGTGTAGGAGTTCTAAGTTAGGTGAAAAGTCGGAAATCGCTATATAGGATGTATTAGGGCTAGAGTAAGGTCTGGACTGATTGCATTAACTATTATCCAAGTATACTCCAGAACTAAGCAATTTTATGAATATAACTTACTGACCGACATATTCGACATAAATTCTGGAAGAATAACGAAAATCATTATATTAGTATATGGAAACTGGATTAATTCGACCGCTTTCTTACAGTTTCGTTGCCTCAAAGGGGTAATTGAACTAAATACAAAGCCAATTAAGAGTGAATTTGACTACGTCGTTAACAGTTCCTAACGGCAGAAAAGGCGGCGCTTATTTTATAATAAAAAATGCTTTTATTGATAGCTAATATTTCAACTTTACCTGTGTATATGTGAAAAGTCCTGGGTAGCACTAATATTTCCACTAAAATTTTTACTCGCAGCATTCTTAAAAAATTCAAAAATGTTTGTCGAATTCCTTTGTCTTTGTGTTAAAATTAGTTCTTTAAAAGACTCGCGCCAGTGATGTAGTCGACCAGAAAAACCCTCGTATTCATTCAATTTCTCCATTGTAAATAAAGTTTTTGTAAAAGTTAATTTGCAGCTAATAAACTTGCATTCGATTCATATAAGTTGGGAGGTTTTATTATATGGAAAGTAACGAGAAAGAATAACAATATACGTACATAATTTACGTAACTAATAATTTTCTTCTGATTTAATACTAGTAATACACAGCACAAATAACTAAAATAACTATTTCGTTTCTCTGCTGAACTCCTATAAAACTATTACCTGACCAACGAAACATTGTATGACCGGTCAAATATGTGTATATTTATATACTCATGTGTTGGAATACATGTATTCAAAATATACAAACAACCATATAAGACCAATATTTCGATATTAGTTTCAAGCATGCGCGTTTGTGCTTTAATGACGAAAAACTTTATACATGCGAGGAGGCCCGATAAGACTTTAGCCTCCAACACAAAAATTAAAATTTTTGCAAAATAGTCTCTGTTTAGTCCGATAGACTTGACAAGCGATGCTCCAACTTACTTAACCTGTCTGAAGAATACTTTTTCTGGAGGTATGCACAGTAGAACTCCATGGCTGGGTTGTCAACCGTTTCTGATGTTCTTGGTGGCGTTCGGTTTCGTGTGTTTATCCGAAACGATGCAGAATTTCTCTCTTTGTGCCGCGAAGTGATTTACGGTTGCGCTTGATGGAGGGAGAGAGCAAACGCTGCATCCATCGGGCCTACGGATTCTACCTGCAATATTTCATCAATGTTATGGCTCATGTGATTTTTAAAAATCCCTACTGGCGTGCTGCCAGTACGGGATCGTGAACATTAGTCACTTTATTCTTCGTTGTAGTAATTTTCGCTGTTGGTTATCAAATACCGACGGGCGACGGCGTCGAAGCTCATTAAAACAATTTATGACTGCAGCCATTGGAGAAGAGGAGTCTCGATGCAGCATCCAACTCTAAGTTTGTTATCAATGCGCAATTTCCCTCCAAAGGGAAGAATTCAATCGATCTATATTGCTGTTTTTCCATTTTTAAAAAATTCGCGGACACGGCCGCTTTTCGAAATGTTGACAGTAGTACTACCGGGATGGTAAAATTCTCTTGAGAAAAATACTTCATCGGGCGGTCATGCTCAGTAGATAACTATGGGGTTTTCTTTGTGGTAGATTTTTGCGGTCAACCCTCACAAGCCTAACATACCGTAACTCAATAATAATAATGAACAACAAAGCTTTGAACATACATACTTGTACATATAACATATGAGATCAAAGATGCTTGTGAGGGGAAAAATAAACAGATAAGATGATAATATCAATTTGAAATATGTACTCCTTCTCGATTTATTAAAAGTAAATGCTTATTAAGTAAAATTGAGACTTATAACGTACAGATTTTTAAAATGGGCACAATCCCTCCCAAATAAGATGACATCTGTCCAAAAACATCCGATCAAGTATATACGTACTGCTAGATTTGCAAAAATGCAGTCACATTTAATCATGATTATAACTGACTTTTTGGCCAAACACGAAAAAAGATTCTTCGCGCAGCCACTTCACTTCACATCGGAGAACGCGCAATTAGTACATCCAGCCGGGGCTTATTACAAGCGAAGGAAAAATTGTATTAAACGTTGTCATGCTTGTATTGGCACAAAAGGAGACTGTTGATTTGTATTAGAATACGTGGAAATATAGTTTTTTTCAGACCGGGTAAAATTTTATCTGAAAATTGTCCTTAATCCAGTTACACTTAAAACTAAAAAAAAAAAATTCAAATTGAATAAAATGAATACTAACTTAAAACAACTAAAATTAAAAAAATTAACGACCAACAACTTTTTGGATCGTAGATGTGTAAATGAAATGAATTAAAGCCAAGAATTGTCGTGAATATTCTGTGAGTTATTTAAATTTATATAAAGTTTAAATATTTAAAATAGAGACATTTACGATTTAGGATCCTTTAATAAGAAAACAAATAATGATCGCAGAACAAGCGAGAAACCTGCTATAGAATAAGTGAATAGAGCATTGATGGCTCAAAAACTAGAATTCGATCAGAAAACAGTAGCAATTCGGATTAGAAAAAGTTACAGTAGTCATTCACCATTTAATTAATTGCAATTATTTTAAACGCAATAATATATCTTCTGGAATTTTGTGATCACCAAGGCACCTACAAGTACATGGCGTGAAGCTTTCCACAATGCGTGCGAGTTGGTACGTTAGCAGTCAACGCTACTAAGATCCGAAATTCTCCTACTTCGAAATAAAGCACGAGGTGCTGCGGATGCAGATCTCGTTCTTCTACACTTTACTACCAACCTAAACCTTTGACAAATAAAAAGCAGTTAGTTTATTTCATATTTTCCCATAAGTATAAATTATGTTGGCAATGCGAGCAAAAATTGTCAACTTAAATTCAAACTATTTCAAAATATTTGAGATGAGAAAAACTAGGTGTGAATTTTTGAATTTGTGAACGGTTATTATTATACTACACATAACATATATACATATTTATTTACAGAAAAAAAGGTTCAACAAAGGCTGAGACGCTTATACTACTAAACTGATACAGTGAGAGGAAGAGCGTGTTTCTGCATTTGCAAAAGAAAAAGTTCGGATAGAAAAAATTCTTTAGAAGACATGATTTTCTAAAAATTTACGATAGGGCTGCCTTCAGCTTGTGGTGTAAATATATTCTGTCTTTGTTTTTCAGGATACAACGGTTAATGTGGCTGGGCTTGTTTCACATAACATATATACCTACATATCCATGTGCTCCTTTCATCCTTGGCTTGGCGTATGTAAAGAATATTTTTAAAATTATTATTACTTCTTTTTGGGAAAAAATTTATATGATTCAGCATTGAAAAATATACACAATTTTTAATTTTCACGTTTATACGATCAACGCCTAATTTTTAATCGCGATTTTTATATTAATCTCTAGATCTACAAGATGACAATCGGATATAGTAATTGTAGTATACTATAATTTGTATACTCTCGCAACCTGTTGCAACGAGTATAATAGTTTATTCATCTAACGGTTCTTTGTTACAGCTAAAAACAACCGAGGTAGATACAGGGTTATATATATAATATTATATATATACCTATATTATATAAACGATCAGGGTGACGAGACGAGTTGACATCCTGGTGACTGACTGAGGTTTGTATCAACTAAAACTAATCGATATAGATATAGCGTTATGTATATATAAATGATCAGGATGACAAGACGAGCTCAATTCCCAGTCCGTCTGTCCATTTGTGTCTGCAAGCAATAACTTGAGTACAAATTGAGATATTGTGATGAAACTTGGTACATATATATTCCTTGGCACTCAAAGAGGGTTGTTGTGGTTAACGGGCTTAATGGATCATAATTGTTATTTGGCACATATACATTTCATACACTGTAAAAATGGGTAAAATCAGATAGTAACCACGTCCACTCCCCACATAACCGTTTTGTTAGCAATTACTAAAAGTGCGATAACTTACTGAATAAAAGAGCTACAAGCATTAAAGTTTACAACCAGGATGGCAGGGAATGGCTTTATTGGAGCCGGCGTAAAAGTTGGACAATAAGCGTGGCACCACCTACTTTAGGTGAAATTCTATATCTCAAGAACTACTTGATCACTTTCAACCAAAAGTGAAGTTATTTAATTATTAGTATTGTACACTATGGAAATGGGTGATATCTGTTAGCAACCACGCCTACTTCCCATATAACAAACTTTTAAGTTTCTTATGATTCTTTGCCTTTACAGTATACGGATCAAAAATCAATGAAGAAATATTCTAATAAAGAATAGAACTTAGCACAAAAAGTGTCCTCCAGTGTTTAATCTCACGCCCAAAAACTGTCGAAATCCGACAATAACTTTTCAAGAAACCAGACACCAAATATGTGGACACCGGTGAATATGGCTGATTTTTTTCCGAACACATAGGTTAGTCTGTGACTTCTAGTGTTGAAGTTCGGGGATAATTTTTTTGTGACAACAGCATATTCTTGTGCCAAAAACGTGTAAAATCGGGTGAATACTTCCTTTAGGCCCCATATACCTAATATAAATAATTTCGAACTTCCGGTTGACTCTATATCTCATCTATCGGTCAATGTGCAAGAAATCTTATTGAAATTCCGAAAAAATATCTTCTTGCATGCCACTGTTAATAATGGTTGTAATACTGCCTACTTTTAATTAAAAATATACGAAAACCCCGTATATCATTTACGTTGCAAGAGTATTAAATGTTCAGTTACACCCGCACTTAGCCACTCCTTACTTGTCATGTATAGTTCTATGAATCAATAAATTATGCCCGCTAGGCTCCTTCCGTTGTCTCTTTTCCACCAGCAAACATCACGGATGAAAAAAGTTGGCTTATTTTAACCCATCAAGTCAAGTTAATTTTATTCTCACTGTTTATAATTTCAACCTTCAAATCAAATGAAATCACAATGTATTTAACCCACTCAATACAAAAAAACACTTGCGACGCAGCTCAAAAATATATGAAAACTGTTTTATATAAAAAATGGAAGTGTCCGGATCAGTTCCGCAGATGTAGACTGCAGGTACTCAACTGACGGGAATAAAAAACGTTGACGATGTGTTCGCTTCGAATTGGATACGCCAAAGGAGCCGGCCGCATCGAGTGGTTGTGGTTTTGTTGATGGTTGGTGGGGTGATCGACAGGTGTGTTGCGTTATCCCGAATGTTAGTGTCGTTGTGTGAGGTGTATGATGCGTGAGGTGATGTGGTGAATGTTGCTTGTCGGTGATGTGTGATGTAGATTGTGTTAGTTAATGTGGGAGGTAAGTTAATGTGTATAGTTTTCGGGGCAATGTAGGCTCAGTTAACCATCCCGGGCCCCCTAAGCGAATATTAGCCTAGCAGACGCTGAAGTTGTTGCAGCGTGTATACGACGCTGCTCAGCCCAGTTGCACGGCGGGGTTGCGACCAAAGCTGGCTATGGCGCGGAACTGTTTCGTTGCGTGGGCGCCAGGAGGGGGTGCCGATCGGCGAGGTCGTGCGGCACGTTGAAGGGGGGTAATTAAGTAACTAATAAATTAATTTTAATTTCACTCACCGAGGAAATTCTGACTTTGTGTTTTCTGCCAATTCGTGGAGTGTTCGAATGGCTAAATATGGAGCACAGTTGACGTCAAAGGTAACTGTTTTTAATTTATAGTCGCGAAGTGGACTATTAGGAGATTTTCGGAAAATAATATCAGTCAATCCACAAAGAAATCTCAAAAGAGTATACCATTTGACTTTGCGAGAGTATAAAATGTTCGGTTACATCCGAATTTAGCCCTTCCTTACTTGTTATTCTCGCAACCTGTTGCTACAGAGTATAATAGTTTTGTTCAATCTAATCGAGTAAGATATGGGGTTATATATATATAAATGATCAGGATGAAAGGCGAGTTTAAATCCGGGTTACTGTCTGTCCGTCCGTCCGTGCAAGCTCTAACTTGAGTAAAAATTGAAATATCTTTATGAAGCCCACGCCCACAAAACGCCATTATTGAAAAACAAATAAATTGCCATAACTAAGCTCCGCAATAAGATACAAGACTGTTATTTGCTACACAGGATCACAATAAGGAGGGGCATCTGCAGTTAAAAATTTTTTTAAAGTGGGCGTGGTCCCGCTCCTAATAGGTTTAATATGCATATCTCCTAAACCGCTAATGCTATAATAACAAAATTCACTGGAAGCAAATGTTTTTAGAACCTCTAAATACAGTGTGAAAAAAGTTGAAATCGGATGGCAACTCCGCCCACTCCCCATATAACGGTACTGTTAAAAACTACTAAAACCGCGATAAATCAAGCACTAAACACGCCAGAGACATTAAATTTTGTTTCTGGGATGGTATGAGATAACTTTATAGGAACAGCGTTTCAAATTAGACAGTGGGCGTGGCACAGCCCATTTTTAGGTGAAAACCCATATCTTGGGATCTGCTTCACCGATTTCAACCAAGTTCGCTGCATTACGTTCTCATATTTCTATGTTA